CGCGGACCGGCTATGGCGGACTGTGGTTGAGGGTGAAGCAGAGGTATAAGAAGGAGGGCGGTGGCGATAGCGTGGAACAACAGAATAGGGAATTGATTCAGGGTTGAACATGCTGCGCAAACAGTGCAACTGGGAATGTGTTCGGAAATCAGACACAGATCACGRCAGCGGAAACAGCATGTCACCTTCGAAGAACTTTGTGTGACGGACTAGCGTCGGACGGATATGGACGTACTACGAGCGAACCAGCTATAGCACACCAGGGAAATYGAGGTAAGCAAACCGGCTCTGTGGAATGGAAGTCGTGCTACGAAGAGCGAACTGGCTATGGCGGAAGGACGTGGTGGGTGAAGACAAGATGGCACAACGCGTGCGGTGGCGATAGCGCGTCTTCAACTATGGAGCTGGCAAACATCGAAAGGGATAAAATGAGGGAGGCAACGCCTTTTATACTTTTCCACCCAGGCATCGCGTCAGGACCAAGGAGGCTGTGGAGAGGGCTTTTCGATTCGCCGCTTGTTCGCATATCGCACTCCAGGGCCAATAGGACACCAGGGCCTACAAAACGYCAGACCCTAAAAACCGGCMAGGACAGTTGAGACTCGAAAGGTCAGAGGTACCGCCAATCGCTGGTCGTCRATCAACAAATGTCGGCGGCACAGATCAAAGAAGCCACTGGCATGCCAGAGGCCCTAAATTCTCCACCAACTCCGGCGTGCAGTGATATGACACCTTCGGGAATTACGAGACAGTCCATGTCAGTTCCGTTGTTGAAGTCTCGGTCGTCGATCGTCATGATCCGACGCACGAAGTGGAGCGTCGCAACACCCCAAGGTCAGCCGCAGTAATTGCAGCGCAACCGTTCGTGGCGCGCCGAGGCCAGGCGCGACGGTCCGTTGCGCGTCGAGGCGCAATTCCAAGCACGCGCGAAAACCAGTGTGGTGGTTCGTTGCGCGCCAACGTCAACACACGAGACCGACAACATGTGGTCAGGCAGACGTTGCGACATTGTGCAAATGTCAACGGCAGCGCTTGCGAACTGAATTGCGCCCATTCCCGCTGTCACCATCGCCGTCGCCATCGATGCGCTGAGCTCTTCACCATCGCTGCCGCCATCGATGCCCTGAGCTCGATGCCGCCATCGATGCGCTGCGCTCTTCGCCATCGCCGTCGCCATCGATGCATTGAGCTCTTCACCATTAATGCGCTGAGCTCTTCACCATCGCCGTCGCCATCGATGCGCTGAGCATTTCACCATTAATGCGCTGAGCTCTTCACCATCGTCGTCGCCATCGATGCGCTGAGCTCTTCACCATCTCTCTCCATCGCTGGCCATCGCTATCGTTGCTAGCGCACTGGCGGGCCATCTTCCCCATGTTGCGCCATCTTTCTCCATCTCTCTCCATCGCGACATCTCTCTCCATCGCGACATCTCTCTCCATCGCTCAATCTCTCTCAATCGCTATTGCTGCTATCGCGGTGGCGGGCCATCTCCCACGCCATCTCCTGCGCAATCTCTCTCCATCGCTGCACCATCTTTCTCGATCTCTCTCCATCGCTCTCCATARCTCTCCATCTCCTCACCATCGCTGCGTTAGTTCTCACCATCGCTGCGCTCGTTCTCTCCATCTCTCCATCGCTGCTGGATCTCTCTCCATAGGTGCTCAATCTCTCTCCATCGCTGCGCCATCTCTATCCATCGCTCCGTCTCTCATCGCTCGTGCATGACCTCTCTCCATCGTTGCGTGATCCCCATCCATCGCTGTGCAATCCCTCTCCATCGTTGCGCGATCACTCTCCATCGGTGCTTGATCTCTCTCGCTGCGCCCTCGCCTTCCATCGTTGCGTGATCTTTCTCCATCACTGCGCGATATCTCTCCATCGCCACTGTACTATCGTGGTAGCTCGTCGTCAGTGCAGTTGCCCGTCATCGCTGAATCGCACTTAAGAAGCAATATTTATGAGTAGCGAAGGTCTAACACGACGGATATAACAGTGAGCAAGCTAATTTCGAATTGATCCCAGATGCATCATGTATAAAAAAACTAGTGGGCCTTGCTCTCTCGGCACAGCAGATCTCTCCATCGGTGACCATCGCTAACCATCGCCGCGCCATCGCTAACCATCGCCGCACCAGATCTCACCATCGGCCCGCCACCGATGACCATCGTTGACCACCCCTCGCCATCGCTGCACCACATCTCTCAATTTGTGCTCCATCACCAACCACCGTTGTGCCTGCTCTCTAGATCGGCGCCCCATCTGCGCGCCCCATCTGTGCGCCATCACTAACCATCGTTGCGCCTGCGCTCTCGATCGGTGCACGATCTCTCTCCATCACCGTGCCGTCTTTGTCCATCTATCTCCATTGCTGCGCCATCACTGACCAAGCGATCCATTGTATTGTCGTTGTAGTCCGCCATCGGTGTAGCCGCCCATCGTAGTCGAATCGTACGAAACATGATGTATGAAGGCAGTTTCGAACTAATCCCTGATGCATTATATCTAAACAAACGAYGCAGCCGGATATGTATGGAGTTGCCCATAAACTAGCTAATTGGCAGATATGGTTGTTGTTGTGAGATTCGTGGATTGGAGTTGCCTACGTACAAAAATGCTTGTCGGATATGCCTGCAGTTTCGAAATCGAAATGACTCTGGTGAACAAGTTCGAGTGAATTCACGCTTCTTCTCGGCCAGGAAAATGAAGTCCTTTTCTATGTGCGAATTCACTCGGTCTTCAACCAACCAGGAAACTAATTTCTTACTATACGGCGGATAAGTCCGAATAAACTCGCACTTGCGCTCTCAGTTTCGAAATCTCATTTCAAGTGCGAATTTATTCGCTCCTAAACAATCCAGGTCCCTGAATTTCGTACTGTATAGTGGGAATTCTCAGTTCAAGTGCGAATTTTTGTTCGCTCTTGAATCAACCAGCAACTTCATTTCTTACCGTATGGCGAAAAAATCCGAATACACTCGCACTTGCATTCAATGTGTGAGTCTATTTGCCGCTGAAGCAACCAGGARTTTATTTCCAATTGTATAGGGCATAAGTCCAAGTCAACTCGCACTTGTGATCTCCCCTAAACGCGACGCACTTTTCTATGTGCGAATTTACTCGCTCTTCAATTGTCCAGGAATCTTGTTTCTTATTGTTCGGTGAATGTGCGAATGAACTCACACTTATACTCTCGCCGAATGATCATCCGAGCTTATTTGCTGCTTAACCGACCAAGATTGTATTTCCAACTGTATGCTGCAGAAGTCGGAGTCAACGCGGAACTTCGCACTTGGGCTCTCTCATAAAGGACCTCCTACGCAGAAGTGACAATGAACTAATGTCAGAGAGAAAGTGCAAGTTCACTCGGACTTCTCCAAACCACTTGTACAGTAAAGTACCTGTAAGGAATACAGTCCTTCGCTGAGACATCTTGACCACGAGAGAACGAAAATCATTCAAAAAACTATTGTTTCATTGTTTTGTGATAAGTATTACAATTGCGAGTTTGCTCCCTCTTGCTTATTTCCCTGACCTCGTTAAACGTTGACGTGATTTTCTTATTGCGTAGTTGTCGTGAAATGGGTGTCCGGCGTGGAGAAGACAATGTTCGAGAACGTAATTCTTGTGACAGCAGTCCGGAAACTCCCTGCGAACCGCCTCGTGATTTGAAAAGGGAGTTCTGTATGTTGACCCCGACGAATCGTGCGGGCTCCTCTACGACGTCCAGTCGGCGTCGTATTGTTCGCTTTACCGACGTTCCGGACGGTCAGCGCATATGTTCAGCGCTAGTCACTGATAGTGACGGTGATAGGAATATGCACACGATTCCCGATGGATTGATGCTCGTGGACACAGATTTCTGTGGTGTGGCCGAAACGAGTGGATCAGATAGCGTGCGGGCRGTTGGTCGGCTGTGTGAAAGCATTGAAGTTACCCAACCACTAGCCTTTGACTATAGTCGCTCGTTGGTAGACACTTACTTTTGTGGTACGCCCGGTAGAAAAGGATCTGCTCGGGAGCAGTCTGACACGTCCGATGGGAACATGTTTGACAGGGAACACGCAGCGGAACGCCTGGGTGAAAGTGCCAACACAGGTAAGACAATTCCAATCGAATCCATAAAAATT